AGGGTGAATTAAAAAGAGTGCTGGAGTGGTCTGAGTCGAAAGGAGCACGAAGACAACTACAATCAACAAGTGACGTGAGGGACAAATAATATACCATGAAAGCTTCAACGATGATAAGAGAACAATACGAACAAATACTTGAAACGACAAATTATCAACAGCCTAAAAATTAACGGCGAGAAGTGGTAAGACAGATCAGAAACAGGGTTTTCCAAATGCGTACCTAAGATTTTATGGCACGGCATATTTCGCGATAGTCAACACCGACGAAGGGGTTTTTCTTCTGGAACCCTAACCGGAGCCCTCGAGTGAAAAGTTTGACCCGCAAGGCAGCGGGGCGTAAATCTAACGCGGGAGCGTGAACGAAGTACCCGTGTGGGAGCTTCTGGAGACCTGTCGCGCAAGGCCTTCGGGTTTCAATTCAGTGTATTGTTCGCTGGTGCGTTGATTATCTGACCGCTTTTCAGGATCGACTCTTAGTCCCATGCACCCAAGGGGGCAAGTGGAACGTGGACAGGACAGCGCTTTGGCTTTGGCGGGCGGTAGCTGTTCAGTGAAGTGCAAAGACTTCTCCCATCGTCAAGAGGGAGCCTCTGGAACCCCGCTCCTACGTCCATCTAGCGGGGGTTCTTTGTTCGGTCTACTGCCCCTCCTCGTGTTCCTTTTTGCTGGAGTGACCTCGCCGGGGGGCGGGAGTGGATAGTCAACGGAAGCCAGGTGCCCAAGCAGCTGGCTTTGAGATAGATCTTCGTCTGTCCCCTACCTATTGACCTTTCAGGCATGATTGGATCTGCGGTTGTGAGGAGCCATCCTGTATACCTCGCAGGGTCATGGAGGCACGCAAGCCATCACACCACGTCAAGGTGCAGTCTCGGCATAATGGAAGTGGTAGGATGCACAGCGTAAATGTGCATAGAAGGCTGACACAGGTCTTGTTATCACGAATGCCGAAGCCTAAGAACATTTAACGGAAAACTGATGAAATCTCAGCAGCAGCATGTGCAACAGTGAGCAGAGCTATTCCAGATGCGGACAGGGTCAGGAAGACCTTTTGTTCACCCATTGAACCTTATCATAACCGCCTAACTTTGGTGGTGGACAGATTCGCCGTAGTCCCACTCAGTACCACCCCTATCCTAGATGAACAGCAGGCCTATATGTCGCACCCCTAATGCCTCTCATCACGAAACGGTGTGCAATAAAAAAAACCCTCCTGTTGCCTATAGTAAGTAATGAAAAAGCAAAAACACGGAGACGATAAGACTATAAGAGTCAGCGACAGTGGACTGGGTTTATGAAGTTGCAAATCACTGATGAGCAGTGAGTAGGGAATTTTGGTAATTTTACTTTGCTTACACACCCGCCAGTGTTTGCACGAACAAAGAATCCGTAGTCTCCAATCCATTTTTGATATGCTACAAATAAGAGTTTTTTCACCTTCCCTACACGGATCATTATGACCTACTAAACGGACTGAGCACAAATCATTTGCTCCCATTCTTTCATGCGATCGCTAAGTAAAAACGATGAGTAGCAGTTCCACTGGGGTTATCGATCATAGATAGATATAGATAGATATGGCAGATACAGGTCACTAGAAAGCATTTACAGGAAATTTCGAACGAGACGACCTCCTTCCCCAGGAGGGATATGAGTTAAAATTAACTCAGTGTTTCTCTACATTGATCAGGAATGTATTCTTTGCAACAAAAATGTGTAGAGCACACGTCTGATCTGAATCGCAATTAAACCAACCGAATAACGCAGGGGCCGTCTGCATAGTCTGGATCGAATAACCTGCTACATGGATGTAAATCGATACTACAAGATAGGTCTGTTGTGACTCCTGTGATCATATTAAATTATCCAAATCTGTTCAACAAAGTTCTAGAGTAACAATGTTGCTCTGGATAGTGGTTATTAAGACTGACTGTCTCAGATTTGGGATTTAAGACGATTTCTTAACAGGTTTCAGTGAATTAGTAACAGCTTACGAATATCATAGACAATACAAAGAACAAATTTGGCTCAAAAGACCAAATAGGTAAACGGACGTGAAGAGACAGTTATACCTTCCGCTTTTCACAGTTTCTTATTCGAATTTGATCTTCATCGGTCACGTGACCCAAAGGACGATCGGGTGCTTCTGATTTCACTTCTGCTTTGGACTCATTGGATCCGCCATTCGAAGTATTTTTCGATTTGTTTTCCAACTTGATGATAGCCTCAGCTCGATCGAAACAGTACTGGTTTTTCATCAATTTCGAGCGTATTTCGGATGGGAGATTATTTGTGTAAGCATCGTCCAGACTACTAACGGTTGCCGTGGGAATATTATCCAAGGAATGACTTCCGCGCCAGCGGCACAGCACGCCAGCTG